CTGACCTGAGACTATGTAGGTGAGGAGAGTCCTCCAGGCTGATCTGGAGCTTGGCAGCCTCAACAATTGCTCATGCGCCATTTATTTTGACAATTGTGAGTTTTGTGATTATGTTGCAGCATGTGCAACACCCTGGGACTTGAAGAAACAGAAGAGTGGTGAATGAGATGAAGGACTATGGAGGGACATACCATGTTGGAAAAGTCGAATAGTTGGGTTATCTTTAACCTCCAACTCATAGGGACCAAGCTTGTGTTGATCTTTATAGAAGAAATTATTCATACAATAAATACTTTAAATCCTCTGCTTTCAGCAAGTAAGGTTTTGTCACTGCAAGTTATTAGTCTTCCTCCAATCCTGATGCCACATTCTTTTTCATACAATCCAGTTTCCAGATTATTTGTTCAGCATACAGACTGAATAAATATTGTGAAAGACTACAACCCTACAGCACACCTTTCCTGATTTTAAACCCTTCAGTGTTCCCCTTGTTCTGTTCTAATGACTGTCTCTTGATCGATGTACAGTTCTCATGAGCACAATGAAGTGTTCTGGACTGCACATACTTCATAATGTTAGCTATAGTTTGTTATGATCTACATAGTCAAATGCCTTTGCATAGTCAATAAAGCAAAAGTAAACATATTTCTGGTATTCTTTGCTTCCAGTCAAGATCCATCTGATATCAGCAGTGATATCCCTTTTTTTCATGTCCTCTTCTGAATCCAACTTGAATTCCCTGTGAATGTATTGTTGCAACTGTTTTTCAATTATCTTCAACAAAATTTCACTTGTATATGGTATTAATTATATTGTTTGATGATAATAAAAGAGAGCTATTTTTCCTTAAAAAAAACTTACAGGACCAGACATACACAGAGACTGCAGAAAATGAAATTAGAGTTTTTCCACAAACTTTTTGAAGCTCCCTCATATTTGCAGTTGTTGTTGTTATTGTTAAGTGCCATCAAGTCAGTTCCAACTCACAGGGTTTACGGGACTGGATACTGGATTAGAACCACCAACCTTTCAATTAGCAATCCAATACATATCCTACAGTGCCACATCAGCTGGATGTTGTCTACACAGACATCAAGCAAAGCAAACCTGCAGTTTTTATAAGTCTAAATGTTCAATCACTGGACCAATACACAACATTCTTATCAACAGAGAAAAGATTGAAGTTGTCAAGGACTTCATTCTTCTTGGATCAACTATCAACACTCACAGAAGCAGCAAATCAAATGACGTGTTGCATCAGGCAAATCTGCTGCACAAGACCTTTTTAAAGTGTTGAAAAGCAAAGATGTCAGCTTGAGGACTAAGGTGCACCTGACCCAAGCCTGGGTATTTTCAATAACCTCATATGCATGTGAAAGCTGGACAGTGAACAAGGAAGACGGTAGAAGAATTGATGCATTTGAGTTATGGTGTTGGAGAAGAATATTGAAAGTGCCGTGGGCTGCCAAAAGAACAAACAGATCTATGTTGGAAGAAGAGCAGCCAGAGTGCTCCTTGGAGGCCAGGATGGCCAAACTTCGTCTCTCATACTCGGACATATTGTCAGGAGGGACCAGTCGCTGGAGAAGATGGAGGGTCAGAGAAAAAGAGAAAGACCCCCAGTGAGATAGATGGATTGGCCAAGTGGCAGCATCGACTCAATGGCACCTAACAACAAATGTTCAACCATATGGGACAACTTATATAAATAATGATAATGCCATTAGGTGAACTGCTAGGTAGAGCTTTAAAATTAAGACTATTAACAGAAAATGTTCATATCGCATACACATAAATTATATATTTTCAGTGTGGTTTAAGAAAAAAGTGGAAGGAAGTATAACAAAATGCTAATACTCATTGTATTCAGATGACAGAAATTTTAAAGAATTATCTATTTTATTTTTCTTCTATAGTTTATATTTTTAATTGTCATTTAAGTTTATAAGGAAAATAAATACTTCTGTTAAGTTGTCATGCTAATATTCACACCTACATGTTATTAGCCTAAAATAAACTTTCCAGAAGAAATTAAATTATTTTATTATTCTGCAAAAGATTTAGGTAATATTCCAATCCCTATACTTACGCCTTTTTTTTTTTTTTAATTCCATACCAAAGCATAGAGAGCCAGTCTGGAAGAGAGGAGGAAATGATTGTGAATACTTCAAAAAATTGTGTCATCAAATGTTTATGAATATATGTTACCAAATAAAAAAGTAACAGAAACTAAACTAGATCACAAGAAATCATTTGTACTAGTAGCATTACTCCAAACCATTCAAGTGCCAGTGTCCCCTTTCTTCTTGAAACTCTCCAAGGAGTCAGATGCTATAATCTCTGTCAGTAATCCTTCTTGAGAAATGGTCAAAAGTTCTTTCTTGAAACATAAAACCTCTCTTTACAAAAGTTCACTAAGTTGTAGTTTAAAGGGGCTATGTTGTTGTTGTTGTTAAGTGCCATCAAGTCGGTTCCAACCCATAGCGACCCTGTACAGGGTTTCCGAGGCTGTAAATCTTTACGGGAGAATGCCTCATCTTTCTCCCGCGGAGCAGTTGGTAGTTTCGAACTGCTGGCCTTAAGGTTTGCAGTCCGATTCGTAACCACTATGCTACCAGAGCTCTAGTCTTGCATAGCTTAGTTCAAATCCAAACTTAAATTCCTTACTCTTTTAGATGGAGCTAATACCACCTACACTACTGGATCATGATCATAATTAAATAAATTCTGGCAAAATGCTTGAAAAAATAGACAAGCAATGTTACGGTCCAATTTTCATCTTCCCTTCCGCCTTAGTCAGTGTGTCTCAGAATGTGGATGAGAACCATTGCATCAAAGTCACCTGTCACATAGGCTGAGTCCAGAATTCCCAGAGGCATTGCCCTTAATTCTACATTTTTATCAAATAATGATCTTTAGGTACTCTAAAGCTTAAGGAACGTTAAAATAAAGGCATCATGACATGGTTAATAGTTGAATATCTTCAGACTTAGAAAATATAGTTTACCCTTGAATAACACAGGTGTAAACTGTGTGGGTCCACTTATATGCAGATTTATTTTTTAATGATTTTTACACTAATCATCTGCCTACAAGCAGTTCACCTCTCCCGTAAATTGTGTATCACAGCAAAAAGTCATCCCTCACAGTTCTCCCATATATATTTCATCATGTTTAATGTGATACCCTAAGCCTTGAATAATACCATTGGACCTATACAAAGTGCCAGTAGTGATGCTGGAAGCACTCCCAAGAATGAGAGAAAAGTCAAGACATTAGCAGAGAAGGGTGAGTTGTTTGATATGTACCACAGATTGAGGTCTACAGCTGCAGTTTGCCCCATTTCTAAATAAATGAATCCAGCATACAAATGATTGTAAACTAAAGAAAAGGAAAATCCGTGAAGCTGCTGCTGCACCATGTCAGCAGACATGAAAATGCTTCACTTTTTATCAACTATCTTTCTGTTTCCTATTGAAAATGTAGCTTTACATGGATGCAATATAAATGTACACTTGTATAACATAAAATATGTTAATCAACAGTTATTCAATCAAAAGTAGTCTATTAGTTAAATTTCTGGAGAGTCAAAAGTCATGTGTGAATTTTCCATTGCATGGGTGTGTGTCGGCACCCCTAATCCCCAAGTTGCTCAAGGTCCAACTGTAATTAAATATCTTCTTTCCTCATAAAACATCTTATGGACTTGAAGATGGTCATGGTTAGGAGAGGAGGGCCTTAGACTCTTTATTCTAAACACTCAAATTCTTTGAACCATTCTTCTAAGGGTAAAACATATTGTATGCTTAATTATCGATCTTCATCTCTAGAGTCTCTCCAGTTTTTCTTCATTTTCACGTATAGATGACTAAAACTAGATTGAAATATTTTTGGATTCAAGAAAACAGTACTTACTAAAGGACCCCAAGTTAACCTGAAGTCATTTAAAATTAATAAAATAAAGACAGTCAAATAAAATCGATAATTATTTAAAATGTTGTTTCTAACCAGTAGGAATAGCAGCTTTTTATTTCCAAACATGTGACTGTGTCATTTATGTACCAATCAGGAAATAACTGTCATAGATTTTAATATCTAGCTTTAATTTCTAATTAGATCTTAATTGCAAGTTTTGGTATGCAGTTCAAGATAACAGCAAAAAAACGGGGAAAAAAAGACACTTGAAGTTGGTGGAAGTAGCTTCCACAACTTTATGATAATCAATTGCATCCTTTACATGAAATGTCAATTCTCAAAACTTTAACATTTTAGAACACAAAAATAAATTTCAGCTTATCAATGTCCCCTTCCAGTTCCAAAGTAGTTATCTTAGAATAACATCCATTATGTAAAATTTAGGTGACTCAAATAAGAAACATTCATCCAATGCAAATATCAATTTGAAGCACAGACTTTATATATACTGCATCCCTATTTCTGGATCATGATCAGAATTAAATGCTTTTTTGCTTCTTGTTGTTGTTGTTGTTAAGTGCCAACAAGTCGGTTCCAACCCATAGTGACCCTGTACAGGGTTTCTGAGGGTGTAAATCTTTACGGGAGTAGAAAGCCTCATCTTTCTCCCGTGGAGCGGCTGTTAGTTTCGAACCGCTGACCTGAAGGTTGTAACCACTATGCTATAAAAAGCAGGAAATTATAAATATCCACACTATAAAATTCTGGCCAAATACAAACATTCTGACTTTCAAGTCATTCAGAAAAGGAAGATCATCCTGAGATGAGGCAGTCTGTCTTCAGATTGTTCACAAAAGTCACTGGCCAGAAGCCCAGCTGAAGATCATACTACTTGTGCTATTCTTGCAGATGTGCTCAATTTCTTTTACCAAGTTAGCTACAAACACCACATTGTCAAGCAAACTTGCTGCTTCCATTTATGGCTGAATATTTTCATGTGTTTTGGGACCTTCATTTCCCCTTCCCAAGAAAAGTTAGTTCAAATACACTCATTAGCACCTTTGCTTACAAGAACAATATAGTGCTCTTTGGTTACAAGAACAATATAGTGTGTGTAGATTCTGATTATAATGGTTCAATGGCTAAGTCAAGGTTGGAAAGAATCCTATAGGTACATACGAGTATAAACGTAACCTGCAGTTTCTAAATGCCTTGTAACTCATTACACAAAGTCCAGTTATTTTTTAAATTTTTTTTTTCATTAGCGACAGCAATCTCTTCATGAACTTCCTATAATGCAAGTGAAGGGAAGGTCACTGGATATGATCCAGTCCCTGCTAGAACAAGCTAGGTCTCCAAGGGACACACAAAGGACAAAAACATGTCTAGCTGGTTCTTCACAATAATCTGATCTGGATGTAGCTTGTGGGGTAGATAGTGGGCCAGTGTCATCTCCCAGGCATCAACGAGATATACTCCAACCCCTGAAAACATTCTCCGAAGAATGGTGTCCAGCTGAAAGTTGTACCAGTCACTGTTGAAAAGGCTCACCTCAGGCCCCAACTCTTGGGCATTGGCCGCCCGGATGACCACCACAGTCTTAGGGCTTCGATCCAGGAGCTGGACAACTGCTCGACGAATGTTCCTGAGCCGTCGGATGTACACTTCCAAGGGGAAGGTGCTGAAGTGAGACCATATGGCTATGGCAACCACTGTGTTCTTACCTCCCACGATGCCGTTCAGCTCATTTGCCACATAGCGGAGTTCATTGCTGAAGACAGTTGTAAAGCGAATAGGTGGACCATGGCAGCGGTATTTGACCAGGATATTGTGCTTCTGGTCCACTGCAAGAAAGGGACCAACATTCTTGGGACTACCCAAGTTAAACTCCACTAAATCTGAAACAAGGAAAACTCAAATTCATAAAAACATCCAATCAAATATATGCATTCTGATTTTTCTTTACTGAGTGGCTTCAAAGAACAATTTTCAAATAAAAGAATAAAAAATGTTGATCGGTGCAATACAAATGTAAATGAAACACCTACTTTACTGCACTTAAGCCACTTTAAGTCAATGGATCTTTAACATATTTATTACTGAAGTCACACAAAATACATGACACTAAAAATAATACCATCAGTGATAAATTCTACAATGACATCAATACCTCAGAAACAAAACAATTTGTTTCACTTCTAGCTATTAAGCCAAGAAAGTTTGCTGTTTCCACTAATCATTGAATATTTAAAATTCAACTTGGCATCTAAATTTCATTATTATAACAGGAGCTCTGGTAGAATAGTGGTTATGAATCGGACTGCGAACCTCAAGATCAGCAGTTTGAAACTACCAGCTGTTCCGTGGGAGAAAGATGAGGCGTTCGGCTCCCATAAAGATTTACAGCCTCGGAAACCCTGTACAGGGTCAGTCTGAGTCAGAATCGACTCCACGGCACATAACCACCACAACCAACAAGTAACTAATAATTCTTCCAGGACAAGAGCTATAACTTGTGCTTTTATATGAATACACATTAGTAGATAAATGCCTCTTCTTTGAAATAGCTAAGAGGCAAAGAACAACCATGTTTCATTTCACCCTGAGTGGGGAAAATTATGTTCATCCCCTAGAGAAGAAGCTGTCTATCCTTATTATGCAAATAACAAAGGCAGCACTGCCCTTCCCTACCTTCCCTCTTATTTAAATCCTGCTTCAAGGCCCAGCTCCTCTAAAATCTTCTCAAAGTCTCAGGAATCAGTGACTGACGCCCTCCTTCCTACTCCAAAAAGATTACACAATTCAGTTATCACTTAACTTATGTCCCATGAGGAAAGAAGACCTGTCTCTTTTCCCTATGTGCCTGACAACCAAGAGTAAATAAATTTTGGAATTTTAATTCAAACAACACTTCATAAACATTTACTCAGTGCCAACTACTATAAAGTGCTACAAGCCAACAATGTTCAAATGAATAAATCATGATCCTCATAGACAAGGGAGTCCTGGTATGGTGCTGTGGGATAAAGCACTGGACTGCAAGGTCCGTTTGAACCTCAAAGTCGATGGTTGAAACTCACTAGCCACTCCTTGGAATCCCTATACAGGGTTGCTATGAGTCAGAACTGACTCAACAGCACTTAACAACATCATCAGACTATAAATGCATTCTACTAGGAGCTCTGGTAGTGTAGTGGTTATGAATTGGGCTGCGAACCGCAAGGTCAGCAGTTCGAAACTACCAGCTGCTCCGTGGGAGAAAGATGAGGCTTTCTGCTCCCGTAAAGATTTACAGCCTCGGAAACCCCTGTTCAGGGTCGCTATGGGTCAGAACCGACTCAACGGCACTTAACAACAACAACTCTTTAGGCTTAAAACAAATGTTTCACTCCCTCCCCCATGGAGTTTCCAGTTCCTTTTCTAGGTTTTTCTACCTAATTCATTACTACTTAGCATTCAGCCCCACTTACACTGCATATAAACTCCAAGTAATATGCATTCTTTGATTTGATTAAGACCAAACTCTGACACAAAGCTTTATCAAGTAAAAATCTGACTGTAGAGGATATGGTACAAATGATCAAGATGGTCAATGAGATCACTGCCATCAAAGGAAACACTGAGCTGCATCACCAGAACTGATGACGAGAACAACTGTCCACTCCTGGAAGGCCCTGGCTGCTCAGTGCTGAGCTGTGTCTACCATCACAACATACAAAGTATTTCCTTTCTCCTGATTTTTTTTTTTCCTTTCCATTCTTGTGCTTTACTAACTAGAACTCAGCTATGATGGTTTTGATTTATTTTTTAATAAAAAACAAAATAAGAACTAAAAAGTAGCTTTCTACTTTGGGGGGTAATACTCATTTCTTCCTTTCCTTCTAAATATTAAATTTGAAACTTAAGTTGAGGTAATAAATGCTGGTGAAAAGCAATCCAAAACAATGACTCACAACAAACCACAGGATTTACTTTATGAAAGTACAGCCACTAAAAGATACAGCCACTAAAAGCAGTTCTATAAAACCATTGATCAACTTTCTAACTTGTAAACAGGGTCTTTATTCCCAGCCGTTAGGATCCATCTAGTCTCACTCCAACCACACAGCTTTCAAGAAGTGGAGAAGGACCATCCGTAAAACTAGTGAAATTAGTGAAACTAACACGGTTTAGTTCTAACTCTGGAAAGCAGTTCCAGGATGCTAAAAATGTTGGAGATCAGCAGGAGCCAGTCTCATCTCAAGAGTCACACCTGTGGAAGGCTCAATGAACCAGCACCAGGAGGGCTGCATTGCAACGGAGCCACAGTTGATTTGGCCACTTCCTGCAAGGTATATCTATTGTAACCTTGGAGTTGAGCCAAACATAACTAGGGGCAAACAACTGAAGATGAGTCTTGGTGGCACTGTAGGATAGGTATTCGACAATAACATCGGTTTGAACTACAAGGTCAGTGGTTCAAATTCACCAGCTGCTCCTCCGAAACCCTAATGAGAGTTGCTATGAGTTGAAAGCAACTCAAAGGCACTTAACAACAACAACAATATAGCACTGGACTGGAAACTACAAGGTTGGCAGTTCCAACCCGCCAGCCATTCTGTGGGAGAAAAAGATAAGGCTTTCTGCCCCCATGAAGATTTAAAACCTCATAAACCTTATGCAAGCTTACTATGAGTTGGAACCAACTTGACAGCACTTAAAAACAACAGCAACATTTTACAGTTAGAATATTCAAAGTAAAAGGTTACACATCTCTCCAGGGTTAGATTACCCCCTCAGTCCTGCCAAGAGAACTGCTTCTTCACCTGGAGCCTTTCTCCAGGCACCTGGCTTAGTCTTTGCTAATATCAAAATTATTTCAAGTACGTGGGAAACAATTAAAAAACAAAAAGCATAGTGCCAACCTGGAACAAATGTAGTGAGGTATTCAAACCATTGTCGGATTGTTGAGTCACCAAATAAATGCACTACTTTCCTTTGTAAGCATTCTGTAACATTGTCAGGATCGTTAAACTGGCGCATCTTTAACTTTCTAGGCCTCCACTGGTCTTTGTAATAATACCCGGAAGGAAAAGCTCCTAAGCCTTGAGATAGTTCTGGGTTGTCAGTGTCTGTAAAGAAAAAGAACATTATGAAATTTTCTCCAACAAACCATAGATGAAAAATGCTCCCACACAATTATGCCCCTGTATTAGTAGACTACTGGCATATGGGCAATGTTTCTTGCTGTCTCGTGTCTACAAAAGACTCCCTATTCAAAAAAGTGAAGATATAAAACAAATTTTAAGTGTGTTGTTAGCAAAAAGGAATTTCAAGTATTCCCTCTGAATTAAACACATTTATATCACAGACCAAAAAAAAATTAAAAAAAGCAAGGAAATGTGTACATGTGACTATTGCCTGACATTATCCCAGAATTCCAGAATAAGGAAACAAATTCTCATTCAAATGCCTGTGAGGCAGGGAACAATTCAAATTCCTATCGTTACATACGCATGGTAACATTTAGTCCACTGTTTCTCAGCCTACTAAAAGGAAAGTTTTAATCTGTGGGCTCTAGAATCACATTTTAATTCAGAAAACCACCACTTAATACAAAGAAAAACTAGTGAAATATAATCTAAATAATGTTTCTTACAACACAAAAAATTTAGAAAATCTTTAAGCACAATGAACAATGCTAAAAAATGTACCAGCAAGGTATACTCATGGTTATAGCTAGCTACATACAATAACACAGCAGCAAGACACCTTTCAGAGGGAATCAACAGCTCACTGCCCTCACACCTACCTTGGAAAAACTGCTTTGGAAATAGCACATTGTACATGCTTCAAATCAAACAGACAGTGATACCTAGCATTTCTTGCAAGCTTATATTATACCAGATACAGTTCTGAGCAATTAAATGTATTATTGCATGAGATGTTCACAATCCTTTAAGATGGTGGTGGTTGTTAGATGCCGTCAAGTCATCTCCAACTCACAGTGTATGCACAACAGAACAAAAACTGCCCAGTCCTGCGCCATCCTCACAATTGTTGTGACACCAGAGCCCATTTGCTGCTGCCACTGTGCCAATCGTATCTCGTTGGAGGTCTTCCTCTTTTTCACTGACTCTCCACTTTCCCAGGCATGATATCCTCCTCCAAGGACTGGTCCCTCCTTAATAATATAGCCAAAGTTTGAGAGATGAAATCTCACCAGCCTGGCTTCTAAGCAGCATTTTGGTCATACTTCTTCCAACACATATTTGTTTGTTCTTCTGGAAGTTCGTGGTACCTTTAAAATTCTTCTCCAACACCTATCCAAATATATTAACTCTTCTATGGTCTTCTTTATTCACTGTCCAACTTTCACATGCATATGAGGTGACTGAAAATATCATGGCTTAGGTCAGGTGCACCCTAGTCCTCAAACTGACATCTTTGCTCTTCAACACTTTAAAGAGGTCTCATGCTGCTGATTTGCCTAGTGCAATATGTTGCTTGATTTCTTGACAGCTGCTTCTGTGAGTGCTGATGGTGGAGCCAAGCAAAATGAAGTCTTTGATGACTTCAATCTTTTCTTCATTTATATGGATGCCATTTATTGGTTCAGTAGTGAGGATTTTTTTTTACACTGAGGTACAACCCACACCAAAGGCTGTGGTCTTTGATCCATATCAGTATTTCAAGTCCTCTTCATTTTCAGGAAGCAATGTTGTACCATCTACATATCACAGGTTACTGAGTCTTCTTCCAATCCTGATGCCATATTCTTCTTCATATAATCCAGCTTCTTAGATAATTTGTTCAGCATACAGATTGAATAAATACAGTAAAGATTATAAACCTTTCCTGATTTTAAACCATTCAGTGTCCCCTTGTTCTGTTCACATGACTGCCTCTTAGTCTACATACAGGCTCCTCATGAGCACAATTAAGTGTACCCTTTAAGATTGTTGCTGTTGTTGTTGTTATGTGCCAAGGAGTCTGTTCCAACTCATACCGACCCTGTATAGGGTTTCCAAGGAACAGCTTGTGGATTTGAACCGCTGACGTTGCTGGTGGCTTTGAACCTCAAGGTCGGCAATTTAAACCTACCTTGCAACCAAGTGCTTATCCTACAGCACCACATCAGGACTTCTATTATTATTCCCATCTTTCAGAACCATTAAACACATTGACCAGATCCAAGCACTTTTTGTTAAGTGCTGTAGGATTGGTTCCTACCCACAGCGACCCTGTATAGGGTTTCCAAGGAGCAGCTGGTGGGTTTGAACTGCCGACCTCGTGGTTCGCAGTCCAGTGCTGATCTCACAGCACTACACCAGGAGTCCTGCTCAAAGCACTAGCATGTGGCAATCCAGCAGCTAGTCCGAGCCCTTGCTTTTAACCACTGCACTAGCCCACCTCTGAGAAGATATGGGTATATGTGCCAGTCATCTCCTTTTGGCTTTTTGGTCCTGGGCTGGCACTGTAGGATAAGCTCTGGTTCAAACCCACCAGCCGCTCCTTGAAAACCCTACACAAAGTCACTATGACTCAAAAAAAGTGTTGGACGGCACTTAACAACAAAATCCTTATTTGTATCTATTAGGCATTCAAATCTATAATATTCAGGAAGCCACCAATCACTTCCTTAAATGCCCCAGCATGCAATCTTGATAAAAATCTAGTCATTCTACAGCGTTTACTGTTAAACCATAATTTATCATTTAAATGCTTATACAATTCAGAACTGTACCTGAGTCATCAATTTGTGACGGTTTTTGGTTAAATTGCTCCTTGGTATCATCAATCATTTTAATCCAAATTACTTTTGTTTTTATTCCAAGGATGCCTGTATTTGCATGTTTACTCTTTTTTTCTTAGCCATCTACTACTAATTCTTTGCAAGTTCAGGATACAAGTTCAATAGTAAACAGAGTTTTTAAAAACTCTTTTTGGCAAATGAAATTATCAGAGTAAAATTGGAGGTAGAGTAAATATTTATTTGGTTTTTATTCAAAAACAATTTCTCAACACGCAGCCAGGTATGGGTTTACCAGGTTACCACACGTTGCCAGAAGATCTGTCATTAAATCAGTAGTCAAGCCTGGATAAGCTAAAGAGCTTCACAAAAGACACCTGGGGCCCAAAGAAAACATTTATTAAATGGTAATTCAAAGTGATTTTGAAGTACAATTTTTATCATGGTTAATTCAGTAGTTACATTCAACTATTCTGTGTCAAATGCATGTTATAAAGAAGTGTGTATCACAGAGGAAACAGTTACATTTCAATTCAAATGTTAATTATATTTATCACCAGCGTTAAGCCAAGTAAAGGAAATCAATTACTGAACCTGACAATTTTTAGACAAGTCACACTAGGAAGCAAAACAGGATTTTTTTTTTTTTTTTTAAGTAAAATGAATGTACCTGCGCTGCCCCCTTGTGGTATGTGGGGACAGGAACCATTTCCTGATGGATTTTTGTAAGCAGTGTCTGAGGTTGTTTTCAAGAGTCAGAAAGTTTCTTAGGATTCAGGATACATTCTCAAGTAAGATAATTAAATATGACTGCCTCTTAAATTAATAATGTAGTCCCTAAGGTACTATGTTGTTGTGAAGTGCTGTCGAGTAGGTTCCCACCCATAGTGCCTATACATTGTTGTTGTTAAGTGTCGTCGAGTCGGTTCCGACCCATAGCATTACACATGTATAATTACAATTATATATATAAAACAATTAAAACTAAAAATGAACTATTACTCAACTGTATGGTTATCTTGAATAGTAGTGGAGAAGGAAAAGGTTTAAACAGAGGTACTTATAAAAACAAGTAAGGCTATCTTTGTGCACAGTCGGGGGCGGCATTTTTTATTCTTGCTAAAAAAAAAAAATTAGGAGCTCTGGTAGCGTTGTTGTTGTTGTTGTTGTTGTTGTTGCTGTGTGCCGTCGAGTCGGCTCTGACCCATAGTGACCCTGTACAGGGTTTCTTTACAGGAGCAGAAAGCCTCATCTTTCTCCTGTGGAGCAGCTGGTAGTTTCGAACTGCTGACCTTGCGGCTCGCAGCCCGATTCATAACCACTACGCTACTGGTAGCGTAGTGGTTACAAATTGGGCTGCTAATCTCAGGTCAGCAGTTGGAAACTATCAGCTGTCCCGGGTAGAAAGATGAGGCATTCTGCTCCCCTAAGATTTACAGTCTCGGAAACCCTGTACAAGGTCACTATGAGTCAGAACTGACTCCACAGCACATAACAAGAATTTTAAAATGGCTTGACTTTTCTTGAAAGCCTGTTCTCCCAAAGGGTAAGTAGCACCATGTCAGCCATGATAAAGGGCTATTTGGGTCACAAGTGACAGGGCAAAATGAGAGATGAAAAGTCAGAGGGACTGACATTTCCTTAAAATATCTAAAAAAAAGCTGAAGGAGAGAGATACAGAGCGATGACAAACTAACACAGTGGCTACAACAATGAGCTCAAACACAACAATTGTGAAGATGACACAGGACCAGGCAGTGTAATGGTCTGTTATACATAAGGTTATGAGGTGGGACCTACTTGATGGCACCCAACAAAAATAACATGTACATTACATGGTATGGGATAATCTGTAGATTTACAACAGTAAAGGGCAGCACAAAGAGGAGGGGCATGATTTGTGGGGAGAAAAAAAGACCAAGACAGGAGAAACAGGATCAAACAATCCTCTGCACCAGAGAACAAGACCAGGAGCAGAGGAAAGCTTGGACGCCATCTTAAGTGGATACAGAATGAGGACAGCGTGTGGCGAGTCATTTAGGCACACCCTACCCCATACTGCAAGTCACTGTAGTGACCTGAGTTTCAGCTTACTCTTTGAGTTCCTCCCATAAAACCTTATGAATTATATACTTTTTTTCTTCATATGTATATTTTTTTATCTTTTATTTTTAGTGAATATTGTTCAAACTCCTTACCATGGAATCCACAGTTAGCCTCCTGCCTAATGCTTGTTCTGTGTTTTGCCACGCATCCTCTAGTTTTGGTCACACCAAGATGTCTGCAGTTCTCCAGACAGGGAAGTGGTTTCCACAGCATTCTGTCTTTACTCAGCCTCATGTTCATTAATAAAAAGTCTCGTAGAAGAATTGATGCTTT